ATTTCATACACATACATATAATCTATCCAGATATTCGTTTTTCATTAGCTCAATAACATTTGTACATGTTCATGTTCATGTACTAGTACTAAAATAAAATATCTCATTTCTTTCCCTTCCTCTTTTGGCAGAGACAAGCTTCCTCCCATCACTTTTGCCCTCCAGTATAGATTCTTCCTCCATAAAAAACTAAATATATATATGATTTAAAAAATGGAGAGAGATTCGTATAGATCTCTAACCAAGTTGTTCCTACCAATAAAGAAGTTTTGTTACATAAAACAAAAAATTGAAGAAAATAAAATTTTGTTTGTTGCAAGAAATTCTTGAAGATATTTGGATATGAAGGCAACTATGACTCTCCAACTCTAGTATCAATATTAGGTAACCTTAATCTTAATTCTTATCAAGTCATTTTTTTATATATGTTATTTATTAAAACTCTTTATTTATTTTTTCTTTTATCAGTTAGTGTCTTTTTTAAAATGATGCATCCGATATTCCTTATTGAAAAATATTGGTCGTGCAAGTGAACGGTGTTTACTTTTTCAATTCATTATCGAATTTGAGATACTTATTTGTTACAAATTAATTTTTTGTAGAATTGAATAAATTAATTCTCCAATTATCTCGGTAAACCTTTAAGAAGTTAGGCTCCATTCGGTATTTTTCCATTTATGGTTGAATATAATCCTTCTTATATTAAATGTGAATAATGTTCAAATAGATTAGTCCAGACCAATGGATTCAGGTCAACTCATCAGCATGAAGTTAATTATAATCAACTCTAAAGGTACTGAATTTACATATAGTTGTATTTTTATTTATTTTTACTTTAATTATTTATACGCATTTTAACTGTCTGTTTGAATTGAAATCGAAACATCATTGTATTGTACGTGTTCATTTTGGATCTTATAGTTCAAATATTTCATTATATTATATGCGTTCATTTTGGATCTTATAGTTCAAATATTTCATGATGGTAGTTTTTGAGGATTTAAGTATGTTTCAATTTGATTTTAGTATTTGTAAAATAAAATGTTTTTTTAGTGCATGGTTTGAATCAGATTCAATCCCATTGCATTTGTTATTTGTTCGAATCTTTTATATAATCAGATTCAAAAAGTTAGTTATAATCAGTTCCAAAATATTGAATATACATATGTTTGTATTTATTATTATTATTTTGTATATTACATGGGTTTGTGTAAATTATGATTGTATAAATTGAGTTCAATTTTGATTTTTTACTTCAAATATTTTGTAATGGTGATTATTTGAGGATTTAAGTGTACTTCAATTTGATTTTAATGTGTGCATAATAATAATAATAATAATAATAATTGTGTGGTGTGAATCAGATTCAATCATATTGCATTTAAGTATATTTCAATTTGATTTTAATTTTATATGATGTTGTATTATTATAATTATTATAATTTATATTTTTTAATGATTAATTCACCGCGTGCATTGCCCGTGAATTTTGCTATTATTATAAAAGTGTAATCAATTTCTTAACATTTTTGAATTATTAAAAAATATAAAATAAATTTAATTAAATACTTACATTAAATATTTCATTACTAATAATTATTATAATGTAATGATCTTATGGATTTTACTAGTTTACCAAATTAAAAGTAATCAAATTCATTTAATATACCTAAAGCATGGCCATCATGTGAATGGAAGCATTTTCTTAATATTTTTGAGTTATTAAAAAATACAAAATAATTTTCATTAAATACTTACATTAAAAAATTTTTACTAATAATTATTATAATGTAATAGTCATAACCCTTTAGTTTGGTCGTTACGGATTTTACTTGTCTACCAAATTAAAAGTAATCAAATACATTTAATATATGTAAAGCATGACCATCATATATGGGAATGGAAGAACAAATTGTACAAAGTATTTGGAGACCCACCATTTCAAAAAATTGCACATGCACATATGCCGTTGCAGGCACTCTCAAGTCTCAAGCCAATTAGATATGGTATGCGAATATTCACTTTAGCGTCTGATCATATCCTACATTCGGGTTCAATTCACCCTCACTTTTTCTTTGACTTCTCACACCATTGTTTTATGATCTATGTTGAAAATGAAGGTCAATATGAAACTATTGACATAATTGATTGCAGATAATCGTGAAGTATGAATTATTATTATTTTGAAAGATAATGAATTGCTTAAGTTTTCATAATATTACATATATATAGAGAGAGAGAGTCATGATCTCTTGCTCCCCATGAGAGAGAGAGAGTCCTGATCTCTTGCTCTCCATGAAGTACAAAAATTAATTCACACTTTTTATGTAGACCGTTAGATTAAATCTAACAGTCATTTTTCAAACTAGCCTTTCCTTTTAATACAAAACCGTTCTCACTCTATTTTTAGTTCTTATATTTAATTTTACCATTATAACCATAAAAGATAATTATTAAAATAAAAATAGAAACCTTTGGAAAAAAACTAATACCCGTATATTTTATTAAAATTTTGTTTTTATTTAGATGTTTCTTTGAAAGAAAAACAATACTTGATCTTTCAATTTTGCAACAACAATATGATAATAACATTTTCTTAAGAAATATCTTATTGTTCTCACTATAAGTAAATTAATATACTTCTCTAGTATAAGGATATTTATCAACAAATATATTATGATGTTGTATTTTGGAATATCAAATTGATTCATTGGACTTGAAATTGAAGAAAATTTCATTTAAAGTTTGAACAAAAGTTCTTTCTATTTCAATTTGAAATTGGGCATTTGGTGAAATTTATTATTGAATATGTGAATTTGTAAGTTTGATTATTGGATGATGATGATGTACTTACTATGGTGGAACGGTAGAATCCACCTCAGAAATAACAAGGTAACCCAAGAAAAAATGGGTGAAGTTTTTCTCACAACCTTATCCATGGAAAGTAATTATTTGTCAACACTTTTGTTCATGGATTCAAATTCAGCCACGCACAAAGAAATGAAGAAAAAGCTGAATCGAGCCATCAATCTATCCCGTCTACCAGATATAAACCTCCCACTCAAAGGTTTCTATTTTTATTTTGATAATTACTTTTTATTGTTACAATAGATAGTAATAAGAAAATTTAATATAGAAACTAAAAATAAGGTAAGGGTGGTTTTGTGTTAAATGAAAAGGCAATGGTTTGAAAAATGGCTTAATCTAACGATTTATACAGAAAGTGTGGATTAATTTTCTTACTCTATAGAGAACAAGAGATCAAGACTCTATATACACATAATAAGACAGTTAAGTTTGAATTGTGTTTCTCTTTTAATTTGCTTGTTTTGAAACTCTTTTTTATAAATTAATGGACTGAATTTCTTAAAATCATCTCTTTCAATGCTTCAATAAAGAATGACGGCCTATAAAGGATTATTGCCATTAAAAGTGATGGATCCATTAACAATATCATAAACATTCTATATAGATATATAAAGGATTATTGGCAATAATCCTTTATATATCTATATAGAATGTTTATGATATTGTTAATGGATCCATCACTTTTAATGGCAATAATTCTTTATATATATATATATATATATTTCCTTTTAAAAGTTGCTGCAGATTCTAAATTTGTAACCAAGCATCGGATAATTTTGTATTTTGAAACCAGGCATACAGATTCTTAATCGCCACGTTCTCTTTGCTAGTGTGTGTGTGTGTGTGTGTGTGTGTGTGTATATATATATATATATATGTTTAGAATAAAAAATGGAATCAGAATAGAGGAATAAACAATTGTTGGGACATTAAATATGTGAAAATGACAGTGCATTGATGGACAAAAACACAGCCCCAAGACTAGAGTATGCGGTTTTATCTTTCAAGGTGTATGATGGGGGTTGAAGTCTTTAAAAGAGTAAAGTGTGTGAATTTTTTTGACAATGAAAAAAAAAAAAGGAAAGACAAAAAAATACGTGTATTCTAAAAATAACATTAGGCTCATTTGACATGTATTATGATATATTTTGTTTGATATTAGTATTTAAATATAGGTCCATATTATGTTTGGGAAGGTTGGATTTGATTGAGTTCCAAAAAAAAAAAAGTTGAATTTGATTCGAAATAGGTCATAATATATCAAATTTTTTAGTCTAAACTCGTATTACTAAATTAATGATATTTGATATTGTAGTGGATGAAGTAAATAAAATTTCTAAATGTCCTCAAAACACACGGCATGCAAAACCACCTCATTAAGAGTGTTACGTAACGTATGTGGGACGCGCACATCTAGATTCTAGGCTAGGCTACCATAAATTAACAAGTCATTTTTGGTGTGCTGCCATTGCATGCGTGGCACGCATAATTCTCACCCGTCTGAGTCCGACTGTAGAGAAGAGGAAGTCCCATACGGGACGGAGCTTGTTCGTACTCTGCATGTATAGGATTATATTATTCAATTGATTTAAAAAATAAAATTCAATTCAATTAAATTATGTGCAGAAGGCAAAAGCAGCAACCCACTTGCAATTGTTACTAAAAAGACTGTTTATTTACATTAATTACGGATATTATACTTTGTACGAAAATGATATGATTTTGATGCTAAAAGGGTTTGGTAAAAGGAAAGAGACAAACCGAAGAGTCTCGTGATTCAGTCTTGGAATCCATTATATATATATTCCTATGATGACTATTAATTTGTCTGGTTAAGAATAATAAATTACTTTGTTGGAGGATAATGATGTATCTAAATCTTACCATAAAATATATATATATATATAATGACAGTGATGTGGGAATGACTGTGATCCGCAATTAGTCTCTCACAAACACACCCCAATTTGCAAATGCAAATGGCAATCACTGACGACTAACCCTAATAATGGTGGGCCCGTGAGGGTCCTAATCCTAGCTGTCTGATCCGAACAGTCACGAGCCACTGTGTCTCCTTGGACGGTTGTGAATCAATCAATGCATAGAGAACGTCAAGGCCCATAAAATAAAATAAAATAAATAAAAGCTCACAACACTACACAGCACAGCACAATTAGGAAGAACAACGATCGAGGGATAGAGCAATTGCATGCTTGTTCAATTGCTGCTTGATGATGATGATGGGTCTGATCAACATTAATCATTCATCCACAACTTTTCTCTCTCTCCTTTTTCTGCTATCAACCGTCTACTCCGCTCAACTTTTTTCTGGTAATTTTATTTCATACCCAACTTTTTTCTCTCTCTTTTTATTTTAATCATATATATGCATATTCCTCTCGATTAATACTCAATCATTTCATTTTCATATCATTTTTTATTCATTTTTTTTATATGTCCACCGGCTGAGCTCCCCTTTGATTATATCATATGCTTATATATATATAATGGTCGATAATTCTTATACGTGTGTGTATGTTATATATGAATACTGTGTTGTAAAAATATATCGCATGTGTTCAATTTGACTCAATTTCTGTTCATGTTAAAGAAAACTACGGAGCACACAACAGGATGCAAATTTTTTTTCTTTTTTTTTTTATGAGAAGTGACAAATTCTATTGTATTTTGAATGAAAAAGAAAAAGGAACCGCGGAAATAATATGCATATATATATATAGGAGGAGGAGGAGGAGGAGGAGGAGGAGTAACTTGAATTCTCAACGGTTTTAATTTACTTTGTTGTAAACTCAAATTTCTCCCACTTAGACTACTTCCATCGATGAACAACATAATACTGGCTAAGCGGCGAAAATGAGATACCTTGAGTCCATTTCCAATAGATAAATGGAAATAAATAATAAGAATTAATGGGAAAATGATGCTTTCTCTCTTTTTTTAAAAAGGTGTACGGGAAAAGGTAACAATCACATCATTTTAGATGGATTCATGATGCCCAGAGGCTTAACTATATTACTTGTGTTATTGTTAGTACACTAATAGTGTATTATGTTTCACCAATTGCCAATGTTGTTTTATGCATCATATAGCTGCAAATTTTGAAATAAAACAATCACTAGCTTTTTTATTTAATAAGGTGGTGAAGATAAAACTGGCATCAAAAGTAATCTGTTTCCAGAAATCTTAAAGGATGAGGCGGTGACACAACTTAATGAGCTCGGAAAGGTATTAAAGTACTCTTCACTTATCTACATAACCCTATTATTTGTTGTTCTTAGGCCTTATGCCAAAATTTGCAAAACCTGCAGTTGAGATTATGTGATTCTCATTCCAACACTTGAGCAGAGTAGTTTAGTCTGGATCTGCAATTCTTCTTCTCTCTGAACATATCTCACCTTTCATTATGTTTGAGTGGCCTGATTGTGTTGTATTGTGTTTCAAGAATGGATTCAATTTGCTGTTTTATTGAGACATTAAAAATAAAGCATTCAGAGCATAAAATTTGGTTTGCTGTTTAGCCTTATTAATTAGTGGTTTGTTTATGACTAGCAAATGCTATGCAATATTTATCATTGATTTACAATAGCCATAACATATTTTAAGAATAAATGAAGCATTATAAAAACAATAGTAAGAATATTAGCAAGAATACAATAATTTTAGTCTTGGTGATTATTAATAACCTAAGGTGGAGATCTATTGTTTGAACCACTAATTAGTCCTCGTTGGACAATGTTGTTGTCAACTTTACCACAGTCAACTTGTTTATTGTGGTTCCATCCTATGTTTGTGGATGACTGCGGTTTTGTGATGAGCTCTACACCAAACTTTGTGATACTTCATGTTGCTATATTTGTTCACATATGTTTTCACTTCATATAGAAGCTATTGCTAAAATTTGTAACTATCAAAGTAATGTTGGAAGCTTCAACCGGGATCTAGTAGAGATATTAGCTCGACACAGAATTTATGCCCTTCACATTCTGTCCCGTGAACTACCAGTAGATCATAAAACTAAACACATGGGCCATACAATATTGTAGGGTGTGGCATTCAAGGATGTAATCCAGAAATAACAAATAGCAGAGTTGATGGATAATTGGTAGATCTCACCACCACACCTTGTCCTCTGGACTTTCCTGCATTGACTTTAAGGCTGTCCCTATCGCACTGTCCTTTCATAATAAGTGTGAAGTTTTCTTGTTAAGAGTTTAAGACAATCATGTTCAACTTACTTTCATGTAATTTGAAATCTGGTGGCATGTTTTCAATTTCAAAGTAAATCATTTACTAATTATAATTCTTATGTGGGTTACCCTCATCATCCAAAGCTGCTAGTGGATGTAAAAAAAACACATCAATTTGTTCTGGATTTGAGTATTCTATTGTTGGTTTCATTAGCCTGTGGCCTACATTTTTTTCATCATTTCTTTCATCTGTGTGATCCATCATGGTATCTCGCACAAATTTTGCTTATACTTTATGGTTGGACCTAGATTTTCCTGTTTCCATTAACTTGTCTTGTAAGGTTCCAGTTGGTGTCTTTATTTCTTGACAGTCCATGACCAATATTTTGTTGCAATAGTAAGGAGCAAAATCATTGTGAAATGCAATAGGACTGTGCATGTGCATGGTTATGCTAGTGTTGGATAGACCATTCTCCAATAGTGAGCTAAAATGTAAGACAGAACTGCCTCGTATTGTGTAATTACAGAGACTACAAGAAAGAGGGGGGAATGAATTTTTGTAGCTACCACCTACACCAAGAATCCTGACTTTGAATATCCCAAAAATCAATACATTGTCCTGATGGAAGGATGCTGCAAAAAAAAAAAAAAAAAAAAATTGAATATGATGCTGCAGATTTTGGTAAATTACTACATAAGTAGCATTCATCTATCTATGAACCCTGACCTTGAATATCCAAACATCAATACATTGTCCAGATGAAAAAGATGTTGCCAAAAAAAAAATGAATAAAGATGCTGCAGATTTTGGTAAATTACTACATAAGTAGCATTTATCTATTTATTTATAAATGGACATTCTATGTCTCTCCTATTACAGCCTAACATAGTATTTACGGTTAAATATATTGTTCTTTGCTTCTCTACTTAAAAAATAAATAATAAATAATGACATGATCTGTGAGAAAAGTATTTTGAGTACCAAGTAATCAGGATTTGGCTGTGGAACATGGAAATGTGAAAAATAAATCATGATGTCCTTGTTCTGAAAGCATGGTTAAAAAAATGTCACCGCTGTACAGAACTTTGGCTAATTTGATCGATCATTTTAGATGTCAACTCAGATAAAAAAAGATAAAAAAAGAGTGGCCCATTAGTTCCAAAACTTGTTGAGTACTTCTGAAAAAATGTACAATTTCAATAAATAATTTTATCATGAACAAAAGACAAATAATTGTCAAGAGAAAACTTTCTGATGCTCTGGCGGAAATTGGAGAAGCTGGATTAAATATGTACACTATTTAAAACTATCAAGTCTATAAAGTTCATTCAACATTTGAGTGATACATATACCTGCTGGGGCAACAATTATCCTGGAATTTGCTATTGCAAAACTTTTGTCGTAAGATATCTGTCTGTGTCAAGAATTTGTATAAACTTGAGAAAATTGAATAAATGAACAAACTAGTTGACTGGATGAACCGCTGATACCTTTTATATATATATATATATATATATTGTTAAGTCACTGATGCCTTTTCGATTTTGAAATTTTCTGAAAAGATAGATTTGATATGTATCTTTATCCTAGCTACCACATTACATTCAATATGGCTGTATAAGTTTTAAACCTTTAAACTCATTTCTTTGTCTTTGTAGCTAGGAGCAAAATATAATATTGAAAAAGTGGTGATGGTGACTGCAGATAGATAACAATATTTGATTGGGAGGTGACCTTTAATTAATAAAATAAATACATTGAAAATACTAATTCACTCTTAAGAATTATCCTTTAAGGATTTTTTTATTTTACCTGAAAAAATTAAGTCTTCTATCAATCATTCACTTTAGATGAATATGCTAATTTTCATCGTAAAGAATTTATTGCTTAAAGATTTATTATATTACCTGGAAAAATTAAGACTTCTATCAATCATTCACTTTTGATGAATATGCTAATTTTCATCATATGACAGTATTGGCTTTGTTTTCCTTTTTTTCTTTTTCTTTTTTCATTTTTGAAAAAAATAAAGAAAAGAAAAGGTTTAGTTTTGCTTCAAAATCTTTTTTTTTTTCTTTCTTTAAGAAATTATTTGAACAATTATTTGGTCATAATAAATGTAATATAAAGGAAATAAACAGGATCTGGGGTACTGGGGTATCTTAATTGGTTTTCTATCAAACTGAAAAAAAAAAAAAGGCAAGAAAAAAATGAAACAAAAGAAATAATGATCTAGGAAATCATATGTTCCGCAGTCTAATGTGAATTTGAGTCGCAATTTTCCTCTCAAAAGTCATTTCAGATATCTTTAAAATTCATACCTTTAATTTAGTTTTTACTTGAATGGGATCCAGTATTCAACTGAATTACTTAGCAGTGACCGGTCATTGAATGTTTCAGTGCATGGGTTGTCTTCCAGTCTATTGTGAATTCAAGTCGCAATTTTCCTCTCAATTCTCCTTTACTCAAATTACTCTTCTCATTCATCTTGTGGCACTAAAATGTGGTTATTTGAAAAACGATACTATTATTGTCTGACCTGGCAGGTAAGTGATGCCGATGGCTATCTTGAGAGGACATTCTTGAGCCCAGCTTCTGTCAGAGCAGGAAATCTTATTCGTAAATGGATGGAGGATGCTGGTTTGATAACGTGAGCTGTTTACTTATTGCCATCATTAAGTAGTGTTCATTAACTCAACTGTGACTGCTGTTGATCTTCAGATGGGTGGACCAAATTGGCAATGTGCATGGTCGAGCTAAAGGGATGAATGCAAGTGCCAAGGCTTTGTTAATCGGTTCTCATTTGGTAAAGCACTTTGTTTATTCACTATTATTATATCGTTTATTATACCTTCTTTATACAACCTAGTTTGCTTAGTGTATAATACATACCAACTGGTAGTTAACTGTTACATATCTCTTAACAGGATACTGTCATTGATGCTGGAATGTTTGATGGTGCGCTAGGTATAGTTTCTGCATTATCTGCATTGAAGGTTTTGAATATCACTGGAAGATTAGGAAAACTACGGCGGCCAGTTGAGGTCAGTTAAATATCAATACCAACGGGTAATGGTTCCAGAAAAGTTGATTGAGTGATGCATTGGACGATTGCAATATGATTAATTATCTCCTTGTTTTCTTCAGCTTCCAAAATTAGATATATTTGTTCTTATTTACCATTGTACCCTGGAAATATGTTTTCCTTACCCAAAAAAAATGTAACCAGGGGCAATTTTATGGGATTGCTAGTGGTGTATGGCAGTATGATAAGAAGTGATGTTGAAGGTTGAATTATTTTTTAAGGACTAGACTAGCAGTAACTGTGTAGCCCTTAGGATCAGCATATATTATAATATATGTGACTTCATGTATGAAGCATACCAAAACATGGCAAGAAACTATATTAGGAAAGAACACATTCTGATAGTGAACCATGATTTGCTACATGACAAACCATGATGGGACTGGATGATTGGAATGTTGTTTTTGCTAGAAATTAATTCAATTGACATTTTACTACAGCACTACAATCCCAAACCTTAAATTTTGATGTATTGTCTCCATCATCATCATCACCATCTTCATCATCACATTCTGATTGTGAACCATGATTTGCTACATGACAAACCATGATGGGACTGGATGATTGGAATGTTGTTTCTGCTAGAAATTAATTCAATTGACATTCTACTACAGCTACATCCCAAACCTTAATTTTTGATGGACTGTCTTCATCATCATCGTCATCATTTTATTGTTGTCGTCGTTTTTTTTGTTGTTATAATTATTTTTAATGTTGTGGATAATGTAACGGGTCCCATTTCACTTCCCATCCGGATCCGATGTGGGACACTTCTAACATTCTCCCCCGCCCAAACTCGCAATGTCCTCTATTAACAGCCATCTACTCTAAAAGCATAATCTATTGGAGAGGGTGTACCTGTAATATATATAAAGCCTTCAGCACGCCCCCTCAAGTGTGGCCTTCTTTTGGTCCAAGTGTCCAACACATATTTCAATTTTAATTTTTAGGGTGACAGTGAGGTTTGAACTTAGGACTTTACCTGTTCTGATAGCATGTTGACAACCATATCTACTCTAAAAGCTTAAGTTATTAGAGAAGGTGTAACTTTAATACATAAATACCTCAAACACCCTCGTCAGATCACCCTGCTTACCCGGTCTGGATCTCGGCACCCCCCGGGTGTGGCATACCCAGGCGGGCGCTTGGCGTGACACCAGATCAAGGACTGAGTCTGGCTCTGATACCAACTATATCAGGTCGGGCGCTTGCCCTCTAACCTAAATGCTTAAGTTATATTGGATAGTATTGCATACCCACCCATATATACCCATTTCACTTCCTATCCAGGTCCGATGTGGGACACCTCTAACATTAATCCAGTACTATAGACTCTTTCAAACACCTATAATGGAGAATTTGAATTAGTTGTGGTGTTGGCATTAGAAGTCAAATTTATATATTTTACTTACTTTTGTACCTTGCAGGTGATTGCGTTTAGCGATGAGGAGGGAGTTAGGTTTCAATCTACCTTCTTAGGCAGTGCTTCTATTGCTGGTACATTGCCGATTTCAGCGTTACAGATACGTGATAAGAGGTTCCACGAGTAACTCACAGCTCATATCCATTTGTAAATCTGCTTAATTTCAGTACATTTATGCATGATCATTCTTCAGTGGTGTGACAATGCAAGATTTGTTAAAGGAGATAACTGGAGAAACTACTGAGGAAAACTTTTTACAGCTCAAATATTATCCAGAATCTGTTTGGGGTTACGTCGAGGTATCCTGGCCTATGTTTATTATCCTGTGGAGTGCTGTTTAAAGAACAAGTATTTCAGCCCATACAACTTCTGTATTCTGAACGCTCATACTGCCCTTGCTTCAATTTCATGCTGCAGGTTCATATTGAACAGGGTCCCATACTGGAATTGGCTGGCCTTCCTCTTGGTGTGGTGAAAGGCATTGCTGGACAGACACGATTAAAGGTATTTTTTATCTCTCCAACACAAATCAGATTTCATTCCTTGTGCTATGGTTTGTTATTGTTAAAGGAATCCAGTCCATTTGATTTGGTTATGCTGTTGCTCAATGTTACTTATATTTGAATTATTGTAGGGATGAAGGTTCCAGGATAAGGTATATGGTATCAGAACTCTAGTTTGATCCACTTCTACAATGCTACATACAAAATTTGTTAGATTTTCAACCAGCAACTTAAATCACATTAAAAACCACTAAAACAAATGCCCATTTGCTATTCCTACTACAAGTAGCATGAAAGTGCACACTGCAGTGGCCGGAATATTCACTAGTTATTCTGACTTGATTCTTCTTTACTTTGAGATGTAAAGTATAACTAAAAAAAAAACTCCATTTACAAAACAAAATAATCAAATAAATAAGCATCTCAAGACTCCTGAACTCATCTATGTGGCTTAAAATCCTTCCATTCTCCTCCATTCAGGCACAAAAAGCAACTTGATTTGTTATAATTTACATTTAGATGAATTGTTGCTTGGTTACTGTGGCATATAGTTGAAGTATGATGATCCAATTAAGGAATTTAGCATGTAAAGATATGTGAATTAATAAATGTAAAGCCTAGTTATTAAATCATGAACAGCAAATCTCAAGTCAAAACTCTGTTTATATTATTCTCTCTTCTTTTATATTTTTTGGAAAAATAAATGATTTGCCAAACATAACCTTGCTTTGCAGGTAACTGTGAGAGGTTCACAAGGGCATGCTGGAACAGTCCCCATGACTATGCGCCAGGATTCTATGGCTGCTGCTGCTGAGTTAATTGTATTGTTGGAAAGTCTTTGTAAACATCCAGAAGATTTTTTATCTTATGATGGTCAGTGCAAAGCTTTTACTGCAGAATCTCTTGCAGGATCTCTTGTTTGTACTGTTGGAGAGATATCAAGTTGGCCAAGTGCAAGTAATGTCATTCCAGGCCAGGCAAGTACTCAGTTTTCTTGAGACTGCTAAATGTAGCAACTAGCCATGCGGGGTATATCTTATTCCATCAAAACACGTTCATGTCTTTACCAGTGCTGCGAAAACCATCAACTTGCAGGTAATTTTCACCATAGACATGCGAGCAATGGATGACATGGGACGGGAGGCTATTATTTATGAATATTCTAATCGGATGCATCAAATATGTGATCGGCGTTCTGTTTCTTGTGTTATTGAACGTAAGGTGTGAGGATTTCAATCCCATTTTGTGTTACTTCATTGCTACATTATGGTATGACTTAATTCTCATATTGGATAATTTCAGCATGAAGCTAATGCAGTGGTTTGTGATACCGGACTGAGCTCGCAGCTGAGATCTGCAGCTTCCACGGCACTGAAGAGAATGGTAGGTGAGAATCTAGTTGATGTGCCTCTATTGATGAGTGGAGCTGGGCACGATGCAATGGCCATGTCTCACCTGACTAAGGTGCATTCTCTCTCATTTCATGTCCAAATGTTCACAAAGTGGTTTTCCTGTTTGTATTAAAGATTTACTAGTATATGAACAGGTTGGCATGATGTTTGTGCGTTGCCGGGGAGGCGTCAGTCATTCCCCTGCAGAGCATGTATTAGATGATGATGTTTGGGCTGCTGGTTTGGCAATCCTGGCATTTCTAGAAACCCAGACGTAAACAACACAACAGTATATATGCGCTAGTATATCTCTCAAATTTTAAAGTGGAGCAGTCATTTTGTGCAGATCCACTGGCTAATTGTATAGTTTTCTTATAGACAATGTTCGACATTGTTTTTGTATGACGTTGGTCTTAATCTCATCAAATTAGGTGGGTTAAAAATAATTTTATTTACAAACTTAATTAGAGGTTTGAGATGTAGAAACAGCACAAGGATATGTGTGGCTGCTTACACATAATTATTCTATTTGGTTGTACCAACTCTTCACGAAGCAGTTCGTAATTGCAAGAAACTTTAATTCGTTACAAACTTATGATCTTACAATAGCTCGTAGATGTTGATTTGTAGTACATCTAGAGAACCACAAGAATGCATGGTCTAGATTCATCTACAATAGATGTATTAGCAACTTCAACTGATGACGATGATGATTTTATGGGTAGATCACTTGTCCGCTAAAACATTGTAGCCAAGCAAGCCAAACCTTTGTAGAAGGAACGAGATTTCAATACGATGCAATGTTATTTCACTGTGTAATATCTGTCCATGATACATAAGCCGGTTACCAAAGGCATCTAATGCTTTCGTCATGCATTAAAGGGCACAAAGACAATTAATTACAAAATATTAAGAACTGAAGATTCATGCCAACTAATTGCAAAGCAGAGATAATATAACAAGAATAGAAAGACAAACTGTGGAGACAACATAAAAGTCCTCCCCAGACGATTTTAAGAATGTGATGTCATCTAAAGCTTCAAATTACACGTTAACTTTTCATCACAAATGTGATATTCCATCATTGTTGTAATGTTTTTCTTTTGTGGACAATTTTTGTTCGTCAAAATTTAAGTGTGGGAATCACTGGACAGAAAAACCAACTCAACTCAAGGAGGTTCACTGCATACCCGCTCTCAACAGCTAGGTTAACATACAAAAATTGTCAGTACCAGCAATACCATTTTATATACTAGAAGCAGTTAAAACACAACACATTACGATCCTACCCAGCGAGATCGCAATTGAACATCTCTGGTCCACCAGCCACTATATATATCAAAGCCATTTCAACATCTCTGGTCTATGCAAAATTCAACCTACACAAGTGAGATTAATTTTTGCCTGAGCTTCTTTTGCCTCATACCATATTTTCTGCAGTTTCCACAGTTCCCCAGCTGACAATAAGGTTCACCACTCGAGAACTTGGAATGGAAAATGAATGTGGCTGGTGAAGAAGCATGTCCCACCAACAGAAATTGAAACAAGCCTGCTAACTGCATACACTCATGTGATTGTTTCGTCGAAAAAAGAAAAAAAGATTACAAAAAATATTCTATAAGCAAACAACTACTACATTAGCAATGAAAGTGCTTTAGAGAAGCGTCCCATTCCAGTCACCAACAAGCCCGTCTTCTACAACTATACCAGCAATGTAACTATGTTAGCACGAGAACTGTTTCTCATGATTTTACAACATCAAGACAGACCTGAATTACCTGGGTAGAAAAAATCCCCATACAGCATTTTTCGTCTAGCAATAGAAAGCCCTAGAGCTCATATGATTTACTGAACTTACTTCACAATAGGAGGCTAGACCAACTGTTGCAGCTGATGGACAACATGTGACATTCTGGGGCGCATAGATGGGACATGTTGGGTGCAAGAATATACAAGATCCACTACCTTTTGAATGACTCCAGCTTCGGGGATTTGAGGTGAAGAAGAAGATATGAGAGGATCCAAGAGCTCGGGATAGCGGTGAGACTGCACCAGAGGTGTGGCCCATTCAAATATACTTTGCCAACCCACTGAATCAACAGCTTGCGCGGGCCTACGCCCACTAACAATTTCAAGCAGCAGCACTCCAAAGCTGTAAACATCACTCTTTGTCGTGAGCTCATTTCTATACACAAACTCTGGAGCAAGGTAACCATATGTGCCACCAGCGATCACTGTCCTCTCGTGCATCACTTCCCATGGCACAAACTTTGACAAACCAACCCCCATTAAATGTGCACCAAACTCTTCATCAAGCAGTACATTACTGGCACGGATATCACGATGCACAACCTGCGGCTTCACCTTGTCATGCAGGAATCTGTTTTGATATATGAAATAAATGGAAAATCATATATATATATATATATATATATATATATATATATATATATAAGGTTAGGAGTCAACAAATAGCCACAAAATAAAATAAGTATAAATCGCTTAATCATCTATCATATTCACATATGATAAGGTATGAAATAGTCATCGTTGTCGTAATCATCCTTGCCTTAATCCCATATGAATGAGGTCGGCCACATAAATACTCTCTCCCCAATATTTTGTATTACATGTCATTTCACCTACAACATTTACTTTTTAAAGTCATTTTTAATAACCTCATCCCATGTTATTTTTTATCGCCATCTCCGTTTCTTACCTTCTATTACAACTAGTCTTTCTCGTTGTGACCAGCGCGTCACTAGGTCTCCGATGCAAGTGTCCAAACCATTTAAGTATACTTACTCTAATTTTCACTAATGGGTGCCACACCTATCTCTTACACTGTCATTAATGACCCTATCTCTTCTAGTAATTCCACTCATCCATCTTAATATTCTCATTTCCGCTACATGAATGCGCTCTATTCTTGTTTCTCTTTTAGGGCCCAAAACTCCACTCCATAAAACATAGTTGGTCTAATAATGGTCCAATATTTTAGCCTATGTGTCATTCTTTTATGACATAATATCCCATTAGCTTGTCTCCAATTTGTCCAACCCGCTCCAATTCTGCTAGTTATATCACTATCGATCTCTCTATTTTGTATTATTGATCCTAGATAAAATAAAATAAAATTTAAAAATTAAAAAAAAATTAAAAAAAGAAAAGAAAAAAGAAGTAGTTGCTTTGAGTAATCTTTTGGTTTTGGAGTGTCATCATTATGTTATCAATGTGAATCTTTATTAAATTTACATTCCATATACTCGGTTTTACTTTGAATAATTCTCAATCCTTTCAATTCTAGAGCATTTCTCCATATTTATAGTTTTATTGTTAAGTTCTCTTTAGAGGTTTCCAAGACCACAATGTCATCGGCAAACATCATGCACCATGGAATCTCGTTTTGGAATTCTTTTGTTATTTCATCAAAAATTATTGAAAATAGGTGGCGCTTAGCACCGATCCTTGGTGCAATTCTACGTTTATGGAAAACTCACTAGTGTTGCCACAATGTCATAAGGTAATGAAATAGTCCATCCATGAAATTCGAGTCCGGATCATACTTTATGTTATAGTCCCAATGCAACTCTGCATCCGAGATGAATCTTATGGATAAAATCCATGTCTTACCTATGCTATCACTATACAACATTCGATTTTGATTGGGTCAGATCCAAAATTCAAATGGTAGCCTGAGTTGCTCTTTTAATCAACCATTAAGAAACTAGCAATGACTTAAAAAGAAATTATATAAAAAAGTAAAACACAAAGGCACCAGACCTAAATATCATACACTGATAACATAAAGGCACCAGACCTAAATATTATGCTGATAATATTAAGCATTTGAATGGATATTTTTAATATACTTGAATCCACTTCGATCTGAATGATTTTCTAAAGAACCGTATCCAATCCATTTCAATTCGGATTGAAATTAAGATCTAAGTTCAAATAAAATGGGTTTTAGATTGGATTAGATATCGAGCCAAACCTGAACCATTTCATGCCCTACCAGGCTATCACAGACCTGACCTCCCTAAGACTTGAGATAAATTCAAATTTCAGGATAAGTTCCTCTTAGCTCCCTAAGGTTTGGGAATTGAGTTGCTAGTCACCAGAGTTTAAGAAATAGGCAACATCGTCCTATCGTCAAATATTATTAGCTTGTGTTCATGCTAGACCGGCATAATGGTAATCATGAATTGACAAAAAAAAAATAAAATAAAAAAAACATTTCTATAATTTTTAGCTAGACAGGATGGTAATTATGCAATGGAAAAAAAACAACAAACCTTCCATTATAATTTTTAGTAATCTTCTCTCTAACCTAATTGAAACTCTGACCACCTTCACCAGCCATTACCACCACATATTCATCCTCTAATCCCCTATCTCCCACCCTCTACTTTTCTATCATTCCAAGATACCTACACTAATCAAGTCACAACCACCATCATTCATCCATCTCCAAAACATCACCATCACTGCTGTCCAACCCAACCATCAATAATTCATTGCTGAATTCCCAATTTGCCCGAGGTCACCTCTTCATCAATAGGAAGGAATGCCAGAAAATATTTTGTGAATCCCCCCACCCCCCCGGCGCGCGCGAATCCAAGAATAAATAGCGATAAGTGATGAGGGGGTGGCTTTCTTGTGGTAAAAATTGCGAACTCATTCCATTTTTGAGGGATTTGTTCCCTGTTCCTGCGGCTGAGTTCTTTCCGATCTCTACACATCTCATTGCTCCACCGGAAATCGCCTCTGCCTCTACCGTACTCCAGCTTGGTAGAGTGCACAAGCTCATCCATATTGCTAATCAAGTATGTTTTAAATTCAGTAGATAGGGAGAACTCCGATTTGGACTAAAAAATGCTGGAGCCACTTATCAGCATGCAATGTTCCCTTGTTCTTGTCGTAGTCATAGCAGTTAGCCATAATTACATAGATAACTGCTCAATATTCCATTGTTAAAACCAACCCAATTTCTCTCTTGCCTCCACTCTGGAAAAAGCCAGCTTCTTTCTCTCCACTCTCCTAAACCAAACCCATTACCATTCTCACTATTTCCAATATTAATTAGCGCAGATGAAGAGCTCCTCTCCCAAGCAATGGACATTACGTTCTCTAAGAAGTTGCAGTCACAAAGGAAGTTGGTTTTCAGGTGGCACTTTATGGGGCTGCTGCAACAACCAATGCTCTGGAGAAATAATAAAGAGGAAAATGGCTACTTGCAAGTTTGGCATCAAAAAAAAGCTACTTAGTCTCAAAACCTAGATCTAACCAACAGAGAAGTGGCCAAAAGACAAGACCAGATAGGTGCCGAAGCAGGGGGCATCTTTGCTCCCTATGCCTCCACTAGCAGTTGAACTCCATGTTTTGTCTCCAATCAACAAAGAACAGCATCTTCCATGGCTGCCAAGAACCAGAGAACTCCGAACATAATTTTTTCCAGAGATTTGCTCGCTAAAGCTTCCTGGCAGGCTTCTTTGAAATTTGTGGTGGTTTCTGCCTAATCTCCAAACCTCAGGGGAGGTAACTGGAATCTTTCCTAAATTTAATCATAAGCACACTCATTTCATTCAAAGTTTTCCAGAAACTCCCATTGTACATGACCTGCTTCTTCGTTGTACACGTTAAGAAGATAACATTTTGGTGAAATGACATTACAGGTGGTAATTTTAAAACCCAAGGAATGTACAAGGGAACTTTGAATTTATGAATATACAAAGATGGGCAAGGATGTGAGAGAATATATTTATGAATTTACGTTAATAACTTTATTACGAGTGAATGGACTGCTCATATTCTAGATAAGTTTCCTTAAAGCATGTTATTCAGAGATGATGTTTTTGCCTATTTAATCATGGCAATTTTAAAACCATATTATTCATTATTCACAGAGAATGGACCTCCTAGTCAATTTAACTACATGCAAGCCAAGAAGGAGATGATTTTAGAGGCATATATAATGTTCACTGCAATTTTGTAACTTCACATGTCCAATAAGGTCCCAGGAAGACTCTTTCCCAGAGTAAGGTGGATTACAACTAAGAAGCTAAAAAAGGTCTCAAAGAACTACGGCAAGTAGAAAGAATCAAGTGGAATACAGTACGAGTCATAACAACGTCATAAGTTCCTCTTTCAAAATAAAGATGAAAATAACAATAATATGGCACCATGGTAGAAAGACAAATTCAAAAAAAAAATCAAAGAAAACATAGCTTCAAAAATAATGACATAAATCACTACATGACAAAAAATAATTGCAATTTCAGACATATTGCCCTTAATGAATAAAAGTAAAGTTCAAGGATATTTCTACGTACGCTATTCCTTGAGCAAGAGTTGTGGCAACTTTCATTCTCATGGCCCAATCCAAACTCCTACCTCCCCTGGGGATGTGGTGCAGCCATCTATCCAAGGGCCCATTTGCTATAAATTCATAAACAATGTATCGATCACCATGATTATAGCAGCATCCTTTCACGGCCACCAAATTAGGATGGTGAAGTCTTGCAACCCTTCCAATCTCAGAATGGAATTCCTTTTTCCTCTGAAAACTAGACCTCTTCAACCTTTTAACTGCCACCCTTGATCCATCAGGGAGCAGCCCACTATATGTGCTACCTGTTTTGGCATCCCCAAGAAGACGGTTTCCTTCACTGAAATTCTTCGTAATCGACCTCAGTTCCTCACTGGTGAAGACCTTCCATGATGGGGGAACTAATGCAGATGCTGCAGGATTAGATAGTTTACGAGATTTTCTGCGCCTCTTGCTCCGCCTATACACAAGGAGCCAAATCACAACAGCTAATGTGGTGCAGAGAATCAGTCCACTGACAACAGCAAGAATAATAAGATATTCCTTGTGACAGCGCATATGGTAACATTTGTTATCTGAAAGAAACCATGAAAAGACACGTCTTCTCAAATAATTGAAGAAAACACATCTAGCAACCACCTATTTACAAGAACCACGAAGCGCAACATCAACAAGAACAATTATATTTCATCTATTTAACACAGAATGAAAACAAAAACAGGAAGAAGTTATGAAAGTTAAATATAAGAATGTAGATCAGCAACATACCTATTTCGAGCATGCACATGAAGTCATGAGGGATGTTGCATCTCTCAGCCCGGAGCAGTGTGGTTCCTTTACTCACCAATGTACACAAATCAATTGAATTGTCGATGTGGCATGACGAATTGGGACAACTGGAGAATGCCTCAGGAATGATAGATTCGTTCCAATTTGATGTATTGTCAGACCATTTCCAACCAAAGCCAATTGTAGAGTTGACACCCTTCCCTCCAACCCAGCATTCACTAGCAGTTTCACCACACAGCTTTTGAACAAAGCTTAGTTCTTGAAATGATGTCAGTGCTGCTAAGTGTCCATTATAAACTTTGCAGTGGGTCTCTGATTTCCCCCACGATTGAGAGCTTGCTATGGATCTGAAGCACTTCATCTTACTTGGGCTAATGACCCATCCAGAAGGGCACGGTGCTGTCCCCAAGAAAATGAAACATTTTAACATACTAAACATCTATACCGAGCAGAATCCACACGAACTATGAACAGAATCCTCGTATTAACATAAACACGTGAACAGAAAACTAGCAAACAGTTGATTATGCATGGCATTCTAGAAAGAAAGGGGGAAAAAATGGCGATACAATGATCTTCCTAAATATGTGAGTCGATGATGCAAAAAAAGGATATGATTAAATAATAAATTTTACGGTGCCTACTGATTGTGGAAGCCTATAGATTTTGGTTTCAGATATTTTAATTTAGTAAAGCAATTTGACAGCTTTACACATCGCTCTTCTAATATGCCAAGACAGCAGGGATCACACTAAGACAGATTAACATGACATGCACCCAATTCAATTCTCTGCCTTAACAACAGAACAAAAAGGAGTGATCAAATTCTATTGATCTTGACTCCTAGTGATCATTTATTAATATCAAAGGATGACTCTGATTATCAAATAAATTTTTTTTTTTTTTTGATAAGTAAGAAATTTATAAAAAGCGCTCAAAAGGGGGAGCGCATCCCAAGGGAACAAAAACAGGCCAAAACAGCCATTACGCTTTTAAAGAGGCCAAAAAATCAATTATTTCATCTAAAGATCTATAATCTCTACCCGAGATCCAACAAAAAAGAGTGGGAACAATAGAGAACTTAAGAAAAAAAATAGGCCTCTCCTTCCCCTCAAAAAATCTCATATTCCTCTCAAGCCAAATACACCACCACACACAAAGAGGAGTAGCCCTCCAAGCATCACTAACATGGCCCCCCACAAAACACCATCTCCAAGCCTCGACCAACTCTCTGGCGGACTGAGGCATGACCCATTGGAACCCAAACAAGCCAAGCATCAAATCCCAACAATCCTTAGCCATGGGGCAATGCAAAAGAAGATAGTCCACTGTCTCCTCGTCCCTAAGACACATGTAGCACCGATTGACCACCACCTGATTTTTCCTTCTCAAATTATCCAGGGTTAAAATTTTGCCCAACACAGAAGTCCAAGTAAAGAAGGCCACTTTGAGAGGAGCCTTAGAACGCCAAACAAACTTCCACGGGAAGGGCCCTCCAGGCTCCACAGAAAGATACCTAAAGAAGGACCGCACATCAAAACGACCCTGAGCACTGGGTGCCCAAATCCAACCATCAGACTCACCAACCGTGACTCCCTGCCGATACAACAACTCCAACAGGATGAATGGCATCCTCAACCTCCCAATCCTGAAAGAGACGCCTGAACCGAACATCCCACACCAGTCTCCCGCTATCAAGATGATAACAGTCAACTACAATGGCCTGCCTATTCGAAGCAATCCTAAACAGCCGTGGACAAGCTAGAGCAAGAGAAATATCTCCACACCAAACATCCTCCCAAAAACTGATCCTCCCGCCATCCCTGAATCTAAAACGGACATTCAAGGAGAAATCAAACCAACCCTTCCGAATGCACTTCCAGACCCACATACCCCTCGGACCACGCACCTCAAGAGAGCACCACCCTCCTTTGCTCTCCCCAAACCTACTAGCAACAACCCTCCTCCAAAGCCAATGCCTTTCCACTCCAAACCTCCACAACCATTTTCCAAGGAGAGCTTTATTGAAAGGCACCAATCTACGAAGCCCCAACCCACCATTACGAATAGGCCTGCAAACATGCTCCCACCAAACCAAATGAAACTTAAACTCCTCCCTTTTGCCCCCCCACAGAAAATTATGCTGCAAGAGCTCAATTCTCTCAGCCACAGAGACGGGAATCTGGAAAAGCGAAATAAAATAAGTAGGAAGGCAAGAGAGGGTACTCTTAATCAGAGTGACCCACCCCCCCTTGGAAAGATACTGCTTCTTCCAACCCGCAAGCCTCCTCTCAAATCTATCCACAACTGGATCCCAAACTCCGACACACCTCGAAGGAGCTCCCAGAGACAATCCTAAATAAGAGATAGGAAAAGAGCCAGTGTGACAACCAAGAATACTAGTAAACAAGCCGATCTCAGGAACCTTCCCAACTGGCACCAAAACACTCTTGCCAACATTCACCTTTAGGCCAAAAACAACTTGGAACCAGATAAAGACACATCTCAAATACCTGAGTTGGGACTCTTCTGCATCACACAACACGAGCGTATCATTAGCAAACATCAAGTGAGAGATCTCTAACTGGCTACCAGCATCTCTACCCACCCGAAACCCTCTCAAAAAGCCCAACTCAACAGCCCTCCTCATCAACCTACTAAGAGCCTCCATCACAAAGAGGAACAAGAATGGGGAAAGTGGGTCACCCTGCCTAAAGCCCCCTCGAACTGGAGAAAAAACGGGTCGGAGCTCCATTCACAAGAATTAAGAACCGAGCACTGGAGATACAAAAATGAATCCATTTCCTCCATCTCACTCCAAACCCCATCCTCTCCATTAGGTAGAGAAGGAAACTCCAACTCACATGGTTATACGCCTTCTCAATATCCAGCTTACACAGAACACCTGGAACCCCATTACTCAATCTGGAGTCCACACACTCACTAGCAATAAGAACTGAGTCAAGAATTTGATGGCCTCCCACAAAGGCATTCTGAGAATCAAAAATCACACCATCCATCACTTTCCTCAAACGAAGAGCAAGGACTTTGGCAATCAACTTGTAAATGCACCCTACTAAACTGATAGGGCAAAAATCCCGAACATCCAAAGCCCCCCCCCCCCCCCCCCTCTCTTGGGGATGAGAGCAACAAAGGTGGCATTCAAGCTCTTCTCAAAAAGACCCTTGGGCATGGAAAGCTTGAAAAGTGCCCATCACTTCCCCTTTAACCACCTCCCACCACTCCAAAAGGAAACACATGGTAAACCCCTTAAGACCTGGGGCGTTATCCCCGTTACAACTCTTTAAAGCAGACAAGACTTCCTCTTCAGAAAAAGGCTCTTCCAAGCCCGCACACTCCTCACAAGAAATGGTGTCGAAATGAAGCCCCTCAAGCAGAGGTCTCCACGTAGCAACCTCTGTGAACAACTCCGCATAGTACTCAGCAATACCTTTGCACACATCCTCCTCCTTAACCAGAGTCAACTCATGCACCCGAATCCTCCCAATATGATTGCCTCTTTGATGGGCATTGGCCAATCTATAGAAAAACTTCGTGTTTCTGTCGCCCTCCTTAAGCCAAAAGGCTCGAGATTTTTGTCTCCACGAAATCTCCTCCATGATAGCAATCTCAGCAAACTCCGCCTGACACTTCGCCCTCCTTTCCTTCAAATCGTCCCCCAAAACCCCTTGACCCTCCATCCTGTCAATATCAGCAATCTCAGAAAAGACCTGATTCTTCCTCCAAACAAGATTCCCGGACACCTCTTTATTCCAAATCTTAATGCTTTCCTTGAGAAGACGTAATCTCTCTTAATGCTTTCCTTGAGAAGACGTAATCTCCCTGCAAGCATATAACTAGGGGTGCCAACCACTCCAAACCCATCCCACCAGCCTCGGACCCGATCCCGAAAACCTTCAGCACGAAGCCACATATTCTCGAACCTGGGAGATCTACATTTACACAACCCACCACAGTCCAGCGTCAACAGGACATGGTCAGAAATAGGGCGAGCCAAAGTAGCCTGAGTAGCATCAGAGAACGTCTCCTCCCAGTCACCTAACACAAGGAATCTATCAAGCCGAGACAGGGTAGGAGGAGAACGACCACTAGACCACGAAAAGGACCTCCCTCCAAAGGAAGATCAACCAGCCCAGAAGCATCAATAAACTCCGAAAAGGCCTCCATGTCAGTCTTCCACCGACCCCCCGTCGATCTCTCAAAAGGAGAACGAACAACATTAAAGTCACCACCAATACACCAAGGTAACAACCATCATCTTCAGACATCCCCCAGCTCCTCCCAAAGAAGAGTAAGCAACGAATCCTCCGAAGGCCCGTAAACTCCTGTGAAGACCCAATGCAAACCATTCTCAATGAGCGAGAACACACAAGAAACAGAGGACCTCCCAAGCCGAGAGTCCACCAACAACACCCATCTGTTGTCCCACTTAACAAGGATACCACCCGAAGTGCCAGAAGCATCCAAAACGCACCACTCCACAAATCTACCACCCCAAAGGCTTCTCACAATCCGATCCGTCATCGAAGCAATCTTAGATTCCTGAAGACACACCACATGACCTCCCCCTTTTCGAATCACAGACTTTTTCACTTTCCTTCGCACCGGGTCATTAAGGCCCCGGACATTCCAAGACAAAATCTTTAGCTTCATAGGGAAACAGTAGTTAAATCCGTCCCTCCCCTCCTCCCACCATCCCTCACCCTGGGGCCCTATTCCTTCTTTCATAAGTCACCAACTCAGTGTGGCATCTTACATCACGCTCATCCATCCCATTCTGAACCCCACCCTTGCAACCCATACTTTCCTTCTGTTATGAAACAAGGACATCATGAAACATACTCATCACCTCCTCCATCTTGCCCTCAAAAGACACCGCCAAAAGAGAACCCACCTCTCCACCTCTCTCTAAACCACTCCTCATCCACACCTTCTCTTCCCTCAAAAAAAGGACCCTCCACACATTCCCTTTCGGTCGAACAAAAGCCAAAGGAGCACACAAAACAGCCTCCTGCTCCAAACCATCCCACTACACCAAACCCAACTCCCCAGCCACCGAAAACAAGCATCACCCTCCCAATCCTCATGGACAGAAGTGGAAGGGGAGCTGCCAGCCAACGGAGTCCCGAACTCCTCATTCGACAAACAGCCCCTAGACTCACTCTGAAAATTCCTCGAAGCTAAGTGAGCCCGCAAGTCATTGATCAAAGGGGCAAAAGAGGCATTGTTAAAAAAGAATTGTAAATCCCGCCCAACACAAACCGTGACTCCCTCACGGGTCAAATCAGGCAACCGAGATAACTTGCAGCCCTGTCCATCCCCATGCCAGACATCCTCTTTCACCATTGAAACCTCCTCTAAATCCGAAGAAAGCCTTT